CCACCTATCAGAGCACCCTGTATTTTGTTTTAAAATTACAAATGCTGTATATACACGTTGTAATATTTTCTCTTCATATTGAAGTTTCACGTACTTTAGCATTTATCCAGGGCAACAAGACACCCATGCTGAATATTCCAAGAGATGGTCCACTTGCAATGGAACTTAAGGTCGTAGTCAACTGAAACAGATTTTATTTCGAATAAACGTTTTATTTAATTAAATTGTGTACGTATATTACCTGCAACACGTGAGACTCTGTTTTTTCAACGACGAATACAAGCGCTACACAGATTATTCCGAGAGTAACCACTATGATTTTCACTAAACGATCCTCACTTTTGGGAGAAAAAGGCGTCTTTCTGAATGGTTTAATGAAATCTTCTAACACTACCGCGGCCATAGAATTCAAGCCAGTCGATAAAGAACTAAAGCAAGGAAATTGATCGATATTTAGTCTTTTATTATTAACCATTCTCTGGATTACGTGAATTACCTTAATGCTGCGCTAAATACTCCGGCAACAAAGAGACCTGGAAGGCCCGGAAATTCACTTAATACATTCATAACGAGTAGTGGCAACAACTGATCCTTCGCAGTTACTAACTGTGTAAGAAAGATACATATTGTTTAAAAATATTCCGCCAAAATTGTAAGATTTATGTAAAATGCAATTTTATGTAAAATGCAAATAATAAAATATCATATAATTTCCATAAACATGAGATCTTTCTATTATTTCTAGTTCGCGGTATATACCGTTGAATTAGAGTACAAGGGAAGTCTGATCATTACCTTCGTTGTAAGTGGATCACATACATGGTACCATGCATATATTAACATTCCAGCGTAGCCGCATATTCCTATTAAAATCAAGACTCCGATTGTAAAAGTCCAAAGCGCTCTGAAACGTTTACTTTTACTCTACATTATCGAACACATCGGTAATCTACGAATAATATAATTGGAAGAGGAATAATTAACGTACCTTCTAGCGGATTTTAACGTGGGCAATGAAAGGTATCGTTGTATCATGTTCTGATTGAGAGCGGATATTTGCAACCAATGAAAGAAACCACCTATTACGAGGGACCAGATCGTATGCCTCGTTAGAGGACTCCAATCTGACCTAATTGAAAATTTATGCGATGTATAATTTTATTAACAGTGCTCACTGTAATGGACATTGAAGTTATAAATATTTATTTTTCTCTTACGAGGGGAATTCAAGTCTTCCAGATTCTAAATTTCTCCTTATTACTAACGCCCATCCCCCTACATCGGATGTACCCTTGACAATAATTAACAGCATAGAACCGAACATTATGAATGTCTGAATAAAATCTGTCCATACTACTGCCCGTATGCCGCCCTGATAAATAGAATGCGAGTTAATTTTAATTGTACTTCTAATGATAATTTTTTAAGTGATGGCAATCATTTAGATTCGTTTCTTACCACGCACGTATAAAAAATGCACACGATACAAACGAACGGAGTTACTACATGTATATTCACGCCTGTGACTGTAAATAAATATATAATTGCATATATTAATTTTACGTGTGATTTTATTAGAAATTACTCGATAAGCGTCCAATACCTTGATTGAAAGCTAACGCTGGCACGTAAATAACAATAGGAAGCCACGTTATCTGAAAAATTAATTCACCGCGTTTGTGTGACAGAAACTTTGGAGTTAATTGAAGTATATGAAATAAAAATGGAATTGAACTCACGATGCCGATCGCGAACAGTATCGAGCCTAGAGTTCTAATTTTCCTATCGAACCGCTTTTCGAGATATTCGTAAGTGGTTGTAAGTTTGAGCTCATGAAAAATCGGCAAATAGACTGCAGACATTACGAAAGCGACGATAACTGTGCCGACACCAACAAAAAGGTAACTGGTACCGTGCACATAAACTTCTGTTGGTGTACCCAGCAATGAAATACCTATTATAATAAAAGAGACGAAATACTTTTGCTCCTATTAACAATATAAAATAATCAGTAGTCTTAGAAATTATTACAAACGAAATCGTACCAGATATGAAAGTGGCTATTAGACTTAAACTGACTGGAAGCGTTTTCATGTTCCTACCACCGACGAGATATTCAGCTATTCCGGATGATTTCTTAATAAAGCCGAAATAAATGCCAATAAAGCCGCAACTGACTAACATCAATGCAAAAACCGCGTAGTCCCACATGCCAAAGCTTCGCATCATTTCGCTAACTTCCTGCACCGTCGGCGTGTCTTGCGACCAGTTCGGCTGACGGTCCTCTGAGATACTTTCCGCGGTCATTTTATTGCAGAATGGAATTTTGCAATCCTTTTCAAAGCCGTTTTAAATTATAAAGTAAATCCTTGGAGAAATAAAAATCAATGTTAAATAATGATATATAACTAACAATAAATTATCCTTCCCGTGGAAAGCTCTAACAGTTTTATATAGTAACGCGAGGAAATCGAAAAACACGGAAAGTAAAGCTTAAGGATGTTCTTGATTAATATGATTATAAAACTGGCACTTACCTTAATTTCCGTATTAATTTTTTAATCCATTGAAATTATGATCAACTGCATGTCAACAAATTTTTCGCTATTTCATATCAAATAAATTTGCAATTTAAAAGAAATATCGATTTGAGATCCGTATCGAACGGTCAAATGTAAAAAACGTTCTGCACGCTCGACGTAACACTCCAGGAAAATATAAATCTTTTCACATTGAACAGAATATTAAATTATTATATTATATGAGAGTTATTAATGTATGACACGAAAAATTGTAGTGGATATCACGGAAGACCGACCGCAGCTAGCGTGACAGGTCATTTGATAGGAGCCAAAAGCATGAAGCGGCTCGATCTGATTGCACACATCACGATTGTGCCATTGTGACAATTTTCTCATTAAACCAACAATGGACATTAAGTACGGAGTTAAAACGACCGGGTATATGCCACTGTGAATCGTAAGTGGATAATGCGACCTAAATATAGTGATAGTTGTGTAGATGTGTTTGATCATATTGGTGATCGCACTTCAACCAAGTTCCTCAATGATTTTCGGGTGTGAGTGTCATCTGTTAATAAGGTATTCAGGAGTACTACAATCGATAGCATGGCCTTATATAATACTAGGAGTTATTTAAGGAACGCGCAAGTGGATAATATGATTTTTAGGATAGAAGACTTTCAGTTCTTTTTTTTTAATAAATAAATGTATACACGTTTCAGCATATATTTTTTAATTTAATTAAGAAACAAAATGTAATTGATACAAGATTTTAAAAAATACAGAATAATTCCCTTCGATTCTAGTTTTTACCCTTCATAGAAGCGTGGCAAATCATTGCCTAATATAACGTTCCTCTCCACTCCTTTCTCTGTAATAACTCCAGTTCGGATAACACCACCGCTGCTACCATCACGAGACATTGCTAAGGCCAGTGCTGTAAAAATAAGAGAGTGTAATAAATACAAAGTTATTAAATTTCTGTTTTTGAAATGTATTGAATTCTTACTGGATTCAACTAATTTGAGACATTCATCCTTGGTCATATTTGGTTTATACTGGGAATCCATGTAACCGTAAACATAAGTTGAACCAGAGCCTCCAATGGAAATTGGTTGTCGTACGCACATACCACCTAGTGGAATACTATAAACTTGTCCACCTTTACGACTGTCCCACCCTGCCACCAAAATTCCTGCCATTAAAGAATCTCTGTAGTTGTAACATAATTCACGGAAAACATTCGCTGCTGTTTCAACTAAGGGTTCCATCCCTAATTCCACCCTGTAAAAGTTAAACCAATGCACATTTTTATCAGCGGCTTTTAAAAAAGGCAATGAAGCAGAGAGTACATGTACTTACTTATGTAAACTCAAATGGTATGAAACTATATCAGTAATAGCTTGAGTATCTGCTGCAGAGCCAGAGCGACAACAGTAGATGTAATCTGTAACTTTGGTCAGCTTATCGGCGAAACGGTTGGAGATATATGCCCTACAACAATCAATTATATAGTTAATAACAATATGATTATTATGTTATTATTGAAAAAATGATTGTAATATAGCGTACCCTGTGGTTGCTCTAGAATCTGCTCCAATCACTACTCCCCCATCGAATTCACACGCCATGATTGACGTCTAATTAATAAATTAATTATTAGATACATGTATTCATAAATTCTTCGTAGATATTATATTGGAACATAAAAAACCATTGTTTGGAAACAAAGTAAAGTTAATTACAATCACATACAAATACACAACACATACATACATCATACATAATTATTTCATTTTACATAAAATAAAGAAATATAATACTATAAGTTATTACTTTTATTTTGAATTTTCATTCATGAAATCTCTAAGGTTTGCAATGTCATTCTAACCTAAAAACATATTAACGTCAATAGTTGTTGAAACTTACTCCTGTACTTTGTTCCGAAGAAATCCAATCCGGAACTAAATTGTTGTCAACTAAACCTACGTTAGGTTGAACCAAATTATCCATCATGTATGCCATTTTTTTAAATTTCAACAGGTTCTTCTGAACACCGCTTGTTTCACTCTTCAGCTTGAAGCCTTAAAGCGCTTGAAGCCAGTGCGCTTGAAGCTACTAATTGCTTGCGACTACGTATCAGCATAGGGTTAGTGTATCGTGTATGTATAAAAGGTTGAGGAGGGAAATCGGATCGGAATAGCTTTTTTATATCAATACGATGTCATTCTGTGTGCATATAAAATTTAAAAATTCTGATAAAACCACGAGTAACTGTGTCCATTCATTTGTATATTACTAAAAATTATCTTTAGTTTATTATTATTTTTACTTCTGCTGTAATCCATATCCTAACATTGCTGCATTATTTTATGTGCGATAGCAAGTTGAAGGTATCAAATATAGACTTTTTATAGATAAAATTATATTTATTTCTTTATATACTAGCATTGATCCTCATATGAACCAATTAAACTATTATAATAATAGTAAATGCATTATGAGTCAAATATAATTTCACTTCACTCGCTGTACAACGAGAAATATAATACATCATAATTTCAAAGATAAATAAACCTTCAAATGTTTATATATTATAAGTATTTGAGAATGAAGTAACAAGAAATGTACAGTTTCCAAGATGTAACATGAGATTCGAGAAAAAAAGCACATTATATTACATTCTCTTGCTGATTGCATATCTACCGTGACTATTGCAACTTGCAACTTTCTCAGGTGCCTATAATTTTCCCGAAGAGTGCGGTACGTCGAGTGCAACGTTCTCATGTAACAGTTGACTCGTATTACGCTTGATTTATCAGTAGTGCATTTGTAGTGCTTCGGGGTTCGGGTTAACAGTGAGAATGACATATAACATGCAAAAGGCTCGTAGTAACAATCGGACAAAAAGTGTTGATTGTGATCGTGGGTAGCAGCCGGTAAAGAAATGGCAATTTCTGCTTGGATGATTTGGGGTAGGAGCCTTCGTACGAGCAGATCTCATCGAAGTACGTTGAAAATTGGTTGCCAATTAGTTTATTTCGAGAGTACAACATTTCCTATTTTTGTACTATTTTTACAGGCCGCCAAGACAGCGAAGACAGCTGTGTGCAACTTGATCTGTCAAGAGGTTAGTAACCTAACCTGTAACTTGCAACTTTGTAAAACATGCATACTCTGATAACACGAGACTACCTCGCAGTGGTCTACGATTATATGTGCATGTTTATCGTTGTTTGCATCGTCTAGAGTGATAGGTGTCTCTTTTACGAAGTACAAGAATGTAACTTTCAAAGTAGTACAAGAAATTTTTAAATTATAAATACAAATTTGTATATTTAACTTTGACATTTGCAATTTGTTAAACTAGTAGTAGTAAGAAGATTGTTCCATTATATTCTTGTCCTTACAATGACAGAAATATTTGCTGATTGTCCTTTTATTAAAAAAATTAATTTATTTTGAACATGGATTATTTCACAGGATTAAGGGAAAATGTGAAAGAAGTTTTGACCAATCTTTGTCAACGTGAAAATGTTCCAAGTGTAAAAAAGTTAGCTTATCTTAATGCTATTGTTAAATTAATTAGTGAAAATGATTCAGCAGATTATGGGTATTCCCTCAATAATATCCTTTGCTGGTAAGGTTTAAGAATATTTATTACAAGCAGTAAAAGCATGCTATATTATTATATAATGCATTTTTTTATAGTTTACGACTTGGACTTGTTCATGAAGCGACACAAGTTCGTGCAGCTGCACTACGTGCTGTACGATATATGCTCAAGAAAGAACAAGATGTTGTTACAATTAATAAATTACAATATCCATACTTCGTGGCTAGAAGTATGGATATCAATTTACGGAACGAAATGGAAAGAATGCAAGCACTCAGACTTGTTCGAAGGATTTTAGTATTAGCTCCAAAACATTTTAGTCCTATTTTAGCAAGATCTTTAATAAGTTTAACAAATGGCGGAGTTGAAGAAAAAGATGGGACACTTCGAGTATTTCTAGCAACCCTTTGCGAGTTGGGTGTTTTAAATCCGAATTTGTTAATCAGTTGTGGAGGAGTCGGTGCCCTCGCAAGAGCTGCCATGACTGGACAAAGCCCTACTGTAATTGAATCTGTTGTAGGAGTCTTACTAAAATTATTAAATACTCCTGATACCAGGAGTACTGTTTCCCTTTTATGTTTTGCAGCTCCCTATTGCGAGTTGCACTCTGCAAATATAAATAAGTCAAAAGAAGAAAAAGACCGATTTGTGTCAAGCAAATTAGCACTATTAAGTATTTTAAGATCGTATTCTGGATTTTTACATTTTTGTCGACCTGACGATAATTCAGGATTGAAAGCTATAGCAGATATGCTGTATGTCGAACAACTTGAAGTAAGAGGTGCTGTTTTAGAATTACTTTATGAGCTGTTGGATTTACCTTTGCCTACTTGGACAGATGAACCTGATGTTGCTTTGGCAGCAGTAGATCCCAATAGAGCTCGTGATTCTTGGAAACTGTCGGAAGGTTTCGTCGCAGCTGAGGGAAAGCATATTCTGCCATCTTTATCATCACGTTGCCCAAATATTACAGAAATACACTTATCATTATTAGTTTATGCTCTACTGGAATGTGGTCTACATCGCGCTCTAGCAGAGACGATAGTTTCTACTGACACTTTCATCTCTGTACGTGCAGCTGTATTATTGGGCGCATTATTACATCTCGCACATTCTCTTCTGCCCTCTGAAGTGTGCGATCTAACACCACCTTTACCAAATTTATTGGAACATGCAAGCACTGGAAAACATCAAGCTCTAGCAGCTGTTACCATTCTGGAACGGATGCACACTATGATGCGACGAAGACCAGCACCTGCGAGTCTGTTTCTTGATAAAATCTTACAAGCTGGTACTTGGTTAAGGCCAACATTTCCAAAGCGTCAACGAACGTCTAGTAGACATTGGCTGCGCAGAGAATCACCTACCACGCCTCTTTTGAAAGATGCTCAAGTCCTCAGTTCTAAAGATGCTCTTGCATGGAATTGGCCAGTAATACGATCTATATTACGCTCACGGGAGGATACAGGACGAATACTACACGATTCAGACCACAGATTATTTATGAAAAGACTTGTACGCTATTTTAAACCATGTTCAAACGGCTACAGTAGAATTGAGTTAGCGACAAATGCTAATTTGGCACGGGAGGCGACATTAGCTGGTTGTGACTTGTTGAATTGCTTGCTGGAAATTCCTGAACCTGAGAGTACAAAATTATTATTTGAATTAATTGCAGATATTGACGAGCAAATTTCTTGCATCCGAACAGCTCAATCCGCTCACGAGTGCTTATTTTCGCCTCGACATATGTCTACTACATGTTGTCAAAAGTATTTTCTTTTTCTTGGACAGCTGAGTCATTCAGCAAAGGGAACTAGGATTCTAAAAGAATATCAACTATTAGGAAAACTACAAGATTTGGCTCTGGCTACTAATCACGACTGTTACGTTAAACTTATACTATCAAGCTTAGACTATTCTAGGGATGGACCTAATAGAAAAATATTTACAAAGATTATTACGGAAGCGACGTTAGACAGTACACGTCTATATGCTACACAGTTCCTTCGACTGATACTCAGAGCCAGAATGGCCGATGCCTATAATTGGGCAATAACATTATTGTCAGAAAGGCTATCAGATTCCAATAAAGTTGTAGCCTTAACTGCGTTAGAGGCATTACACGAAGCGTGCGAGGAACCGGAGTATTTAGAAGCTTTATTGCAGCGAGGAAGCCAATCTCGAGACTGGGATAAATGGCTTGAGGAATTAGGGGATAAAGGCTATTTGCTAAAAATTCGATTGTACTCTCTTCACCAAGGTTTCACCACGCTTTCGTCGCCTGCGGAAGAATTAGAAAAATGGATCAGCCCGGGAGGTTTTGCAGAGAGATACGTTGGCTTAATAGAAGGCGAAATACATGATTCATTGACCCGTCGTCAAAGGAACGAAACAGGAAATTATCATAGAAGAACAACTAACGTCCCCATGACACCACACAATATTTTTATTCTACCACATTTAATAGGTCAATTAGCGCAACACGATCTAGGCGTCCAACTATTGTTACGTCGAAATGTGATACAGCGCTTTACTCGAGTTGTTCAAAGATTTAGACTCGAATACGGTAACAGAGATTCCGAGTCGAACTCAAGGTGTACCAAAACTAACCGATCCGTGATCGACGATCCTTACGCGATGTCTGAGGAGTCCGGTACAGATGAAACAGTAGAATCAAATAGACTCGAAACAATAATGGATTCCGAGATTATGGAGAGTGCGGATGCGTGTTATCCGCAGAAGGTTGACTCTTTGGTCGATGTACGACGGAAGACAAGTCTTGATGATTCTAGACGAACCACTCCAGAACGGAGTTGGAGATTGGAGCCTGAATCTCGGGAAGATCAAATCTCCAATTTACAGAAAAGAATTCTAAAAGTAAAATCCGCGCTATGGTCGCTCGGACACATGGGGACCTCGGCAGCAGGAGTAGAACAGTTGAATCATTTAGGAATTATAGAATTATTAACTTCCATGGCAGAGACGTGTCCGTATTACGTTGTACGAGCTACAGCTATGTACTCTCTCAGTCTCATCGGCACTACTCGTGCAGGTGCAGATGCACTGGCATCTTACGATTGGCCATGTGTCAGACATAGACGTGGTGATCATTGGCCAGTACTTCCTCCTACGAGCAGACATACAGCACCGAGTCCGATTCCTATACAACGCCATCACCGGAGTCTCAGTGATGGCAAACCTGAACTACCCGAACCAATAGCACGAAGAACCAGAAACCGATCTGAAAGCGCAGCCACGGATCTCGAAGCTAGACGCTATGCTTTACCGTAAGGATTCTAAATAATTTCACTGGATCGTAAATAATTCCTACTAGCATTGCATTTTACAGAGAGAGGGGAGAAACTCCGAGTCCTGTTTCAAGTATTCAAAGATTAAGCCAACAAGATGCTGAAGGGTATGCAAGACTTCGTAGTTTACAACGTCATCGGAGGCCGAGTTATTCTCAAAGTAGTTTGGAGGCAAGTGTTTAAATTTTGATTTTTCATTTATCAGCAACAATGTCATTAAACGAATATATTTTATTTTAGATGTATAGCTTAGACGGTCGACTGTCATTACAAAGCTTATCCGAATTTGATTCGTCCCGTACCTGGATTACGGATCAAGTACTCACTCCAACGCCGCCACCTCCTGAGGATAGTAATGATAAGTTATATTACTTGGGTATCGCCCTTCCAAAGAGACTCATCACTATTTTTCCGGAACTACCACACGCATCGGTTCCAACTATAACTCTGGATGAGGCACCTAAATCTGATATAGAAACGATTGAAGTAGACGAAGAGTCGAGTTCAGAATGTGATGTAGACGCAGAGCATTATCGTATATGTTTAGTCTGTTATCATGGTAAAAGTAACAATCGAGATGCGCTTCCTGAGAAAGACTTAAAGCTACAGAGGTAACACGAATTAACGATATAAAATGATGCACTATACAGTAAAATACAGTTGACTTTTCAAATGTATTAATTTTGATAACATTTATATCATTCAAATTCAGGAAAATACTTAGGCACGCACAACGGTTGGCAAACCCTGTATGGTATCGTAATAGCCGGCAAGCCTTGCTTAGACTGAGGCAATTACATTCAGAGAGATTTCAGGTATTTGTGAATGCAGTTTCTAAAGTCAGTAGATAATTTGTATTATTTATATCTAATTTTTTCTTTACATTGTAGGATATTTGTTTGTTTTCGGATGTAGCTGTTCGTTTAGGTAGTAACACATATAGATTGCCAGCACGACGATTTTTACAAGAGTTATTTCTAGATTCTAAATTTGAAGCAGTAAGTTTTTACAGCGAATCAGATAAAATGAAGAAATGTTTCGTTTTTAATTTGAATGTTGTAACGCAGCTTTATGAAGAAGCAGTTAACGTTTTAAAGCTGAACGATATCAATGACGAGAAACCACTACAATCGCCAAGTTCTACTTTGCCCGTGGCACTTGAACCCAATTCCCGTGTGCCTTCAGAAAGTAAGATCAACGGGCGACTTACAATTTCTGAGATTCAAGTAACACAGTTGGACGCAGTCACCGAAGAGGCCAGTGGCAATGCTTGCGCAGATCAGCAATGCAACAAAACGCAAGAGCCTCAGCGTAAATCAGAACGACGGAGCGACGAAAAAATAATAGCCGAAATTTTGAAGCCAGAGGAAAGGATACGTCTGTCAAAAAGTTCCGATAGATTGTTAAAAGTATCAGGTACAAACACTGCCATCAGCCTTGATTAACCACCAACAATGCAATTGTAAATATTTTGTACTAAAATAATTATGAAGTATGAAATAAATTACACTGCCAAAATTGAATTATGATCTAATACATTTCTGCGATTAATACATATATTGGAGACTTTAAATAAAATCCATTTTCCTCAATTTCTATTATGTACACAAAATATGAAAGTAACAAAATTATTATATTATGCATGTACAGGAAATTTGTATTTGAAAAATATGATTTTCTTCGTATGCTAGCAGATGGTGGCGAATGTTTATCGTATACCGTTGTATCCCATTCTGGATCCCTAACGGGGCCTGAAATGCGAACTGTGAGACAGAAGGCAGTCCGAAAATGATGCACGTGTACTATATTCATGACTGAATCCATTCATTCATTCAATCCATTGAGCTGCTACTGCTACCTGCTACCCATGGTGGCGATGGTGGCTGCTATCGCTGTTACCTGCTACAATTTTGCTTATAGGTATTCTTGTGGAGGGGAGATAAACTCATGACATGACCACTCATGACTGACAGGAACGGAACCATCCGTCTTGCATTTCTCTCAGATCGCTATCGCAGTTACTTTTTTCTACAGGAATTCATACTCCAATCAAGATAAAGCTCAATATCGCGTCCACACCAGAAATGCCAGTTTGAGGACGGAGCCAACGAGAATCACCCCTTCCACTTACGCACACTATCGCATCGTACCCGGTGCTCCGAGCTCGGTTTAAGTTCGGTTTAGTAGAGAGAGAAGGCGAAACATTAATCTGTCGCCCTTGCTTCTGATGCGTTAAGATCCGAGCGGCGCACAACCAACTGACGACGACTGATGTTTCGCCTTCTCTCTCTACTAAGCCGAACTTGATCCAAGCTCATAGCACACGGATACAGTGCGATAATATGCGTAAATAGGAGGGGTGATTCTCGTTGGCTTCCGTCCTCAAAGTGGCATTTGTGATCCACGCTGCAAGTGCAACTCGAGTCTTGATCATTAGCACTTTCAAATGTAACATCTGTGATATGTATGTGTCTTGATATCAAGAAATCCTTAGGTTCTCTTAATTGTTTACGTGTAAGTTGCATAAACAGAACATGCATAATGAATACAATGATAAGAGAACATTATTATTTCTAATTCAATTGACAAACCATATTCTTCATCATATTGCATAGTCTTGTATATAATGTGTTAATGTGTTTTGTTCACTTGTTACAATTAAAAAGGAACTAAAAGAGAATTGAAGTCTTACAATTTTTAATTCTGCATAGATTTAGTTAAACATGTCTGAAGGTGAGAAGATTGTACTAGTGACTGGTGGGACAGGATTAGTTGGTACAGCTATTCGGAATGTCATTGAGTCAAATAAAAATGAAAATGAGAAATGGATATTTGTAGGCTCCAAAGATGCAGATTTATGGTAACGTGATTATTGATTATCGAATTTCAATAAAATTATTGTTTGGCCAGGATATAAATGTCAACTGTTATATTTTCAGTGACAAACAAAGTACGGAGGAATTGTTTAAAAAACATAAGCCCACTCATGTTATTCACTTAGCAGCTATGGTTGGTGGCCTATTCCATAATATGGCACACAATTTGGATTTCTTGGTAAACAATAGCAACTTTCAGTATCTGGTATCTATTTACTATCATAATAATCAAAATGTATGTTACATATTTTTAGCGTAAAAATATTCATATGAATGACAACGTGCTGCAAACTGCTCATGAAAATGATGTTGTGAAAGTTGTATCATGTTTATCAACTTGCATATTTCCTGACAAAACAACATATCCTATTGACGAATCTATGGTAATAATGCACGCAATAGTTATACAATGTAGTCTGTAATACTAGCTTGATTTACTTTCAAAAATGTTTCTTTTTATATCATTAGGTACACAATGGACCACCCCATCCATCAAATTATGGTTATAGCTATGCCAAACGTCTTATAGATATTCAAAATAAAGGATATTACGAACAGTATGGTAGAATTTATACTAGCATCATTCCATGTAATGTGTTTGGTCCAAATGACAATTTCCAGCCTAGCGCCAGTCATGTTATACCTGGTTTAATGAGGAGGCTATACGATTTGATAAAAGATGGTATAAAATTAAATTATAATCAGTTGTAAATTGTTTAGGAAAACATTTTGTCAGAATTTTGTATGTTCTTTTAGGAAATACAGAAGACAAAGTATTTACTGTATTAGGTTCTGGTAAACCATTGAGGCAATTTATTTACAGTTTGGATTTAGCTAAGTTAATAATATGGGTACTGAGATCGTATGATTCTGTGGAGCCAATTATATTATCAGGTAAATAATGTAAAATATATAATACAATATCCATATACATAATTTCTAATTTTTACCAAATTAAATTTGTTCGATACAGTTGATGAATCACAAGAAGTTACAATTTCTCAAGTAGCAGAGGCAATTGCACAGGCTTTTAATTTCAAAGGGAAACTTGAACACGATCTGTCTGCAGCAGATGGACAATACAAAAAGACTGCGAGCAACGCTAAATTGCGCAAATATTTACCTGATTTTCAGTTTACACCATTTAATCAAGCCATTAAAGAAACTGTTGATTGGTACATAGCAAATTACGATCAAGCGAGAAATTAATTGAATATTTGGTTTATATTAAGTCTGGCTGTGTAAAATGAAAAGAAACGATGAGACAAACGACTATAAATATATGATGTATAATAATTAACGTATTATAAACATGTTGCGATATATATTTACTGAAATAATATTATACAATTTCAGGAGGAAACTGCATTAGAAATTGTATTTTTCAATTAATCACATACATTAAGTTATGATAATATGGATTAAAAACCAAAGACATATTAAAATCCTCTTACAAGTATATATTTTTGGAATAAATA